TAATGAATTAATTTACAGATTATTTTTTAGAATAAGCTTCATATGTATGGTTAATTATTTCTCTTGTACCTGTTCACTTGATGCAGTTCTATAGCAATTTTTATTTGACTTTAGCATCATGATTTAGCGTCTTGTGAGGATTGAAAGCACTAGGCTGTTGACCTCAATCCGGTTACTGCTAGTGTTAATTATACAGAATGTTAAAAGTAAGCTTCAAGTATTGTAACAATAATGATTCAGTCTCGATTGAGATATCTTTAAACGCGATCAGTATTTTTTATTATAATTAGAGCCCTCGACTTGTATTCGTGTTGTACATCTATTAAAACGTGTTTATTTGTAAGTATTACTTTCTATTTTGAATAATCCATATAACACACATAATGTTTTTTTCTCATTCCTATCACTATAAATTAAATTATCTCAAAAGTTATTTTTTTCAGAATTAAATTTATTCATATTAATTCAGTCATTAAATTAAATTTAAGTACTTGGGCGAGCATCGACGTATTTCGGAAAAGATATAAAAATAGCATTTTTTCAAAGCAAAACCTTATCTATATTCCGAGATCCACAAAATAAATATTATCCAAAAATGGTAATGGCAAGGCAGTGGTAGTCCAGTGGTAACGCACTCGCTTGGGAAACCGAGTGAAGCGAGTTCAAGTCTCGCACCTCTGATATTTTCATGTGCGAATCATTTCCAACATGATTACCACTTGTCTTAACGGTGAAGGAAAACATTGTGAGGAAACCTACATGTCTGAGAGAACCTAGCAAGTTTTCAAAAGGCATGTGAAGTCCGCCAACCCGCACTGAACCAGCGTGGTGGACTGTGGCCTTATTCCCCTCGTACTGAAGGGAGGCCCGTGCCCAGCGGCGGGACGTTAAAAAGGGCTGAATACATACATACATACACATACATATACAAGAATTGCTCTTTTAATATAATAAGATAACTATTATTTTTTATTAAGCGGATATAAAGATTAGAGGAAGCGGATTGATAGTGCACAAATATGTTAGGTATTTCGATCGCTTAATGTTACTACGCGTTTTATTACTAAATGTCAGAGGTATTACACTAAATAAATCGAAAAAATTGACATTTTAACCTTTGAATGGATATTATATTTCTCATAGTTTGTTTAATTTTCTTATCATATATAATAACACAGTTATTGTTGAAATACATGGTCATAATTTAATTTGAATACGTTTACAATAACGTATTAATCATCGCGTTATTTGTAAACATGTTAAACAAATATATGTTGGGACATTAACACACAACATCATCTAGTTCCATGGTAAGCTACGAGGCCTGTGTTATGGATACCAGATAGTTGATACACTACACATGTATAACTTTAAATACATACATATTATAAATATAAACACCCATAACTGGATACAAACGTTCGTGCTCATCACACAAACGAATGCCCCCAGCGGGACTCGATCCCGCGACCGCTGGCACAGCAAGTAGGGTCACTACAAACTGAGCCAAACGTGTCGTCATATAAATTATTGTATATGTGATATAAATTATTGTTAAATAACGAAATATATTTTTTTCTAAAATACTGAAAGTAAAAATAGAAAGCAATAATGCTATCGGTTGAACTGATAATGGAGTAGAGTCAGGACAACAATTTACGAATGCCACGACACTGGCTCATACAACGTAATGGAAGACTCTAACCAATTAACCCCTTGTCTGATGTAAAAGTGCTCTTTACGACATATGACATCACCTAACACGCATTTACTTTCAAATCACTAACGCCTATTTTTTAGTTTTATTATAACTGACTAATATTAAATGAGTTTTATGTAAGTTACAACTGTTTCCTGTTTTTATTTATAAGGAAATTTCCTTTATTACCGAGGGTATATTAAAATAATTGATTGTTATTAGCCAACACTATGGCGCCAATTAATTAATATGAATGCATTATTTATTTGTACTGCATGTTTTCAGGCTATAGCTGCAAATCCTACCCACTAATGGCAGTAACGCAGAGGTAGGTATTATCTGATAATTGCGATAAAGATGCAGTAATCATTATAAGTATACTCGTTCATTGGGCGTGGCAGCAAGCAGTTTGTCAACATTTTTTTAACAAAATTCTAAAGATTAAGAATCTGTTATTTGTTCTAAATTATTTATTATTATTTAGACCAAAAAATTTTTTACTATTGTATCTCATTTTCAGTAGTAAGTGCCTATAGTTTTATAGAAGATAATAGGAACATAGTTTCAAACCGTTATTATTTTAAGATATCCAGGAGTTCGGAACATTTTAAAACTATGAACCAGGGAGCGTATTTACTTAATACTTTTTGCCAAATTTTGGTTTTTAAGTATTTGGTTTATTTTGCAATTTTATCGTTTGCATTTTGCACCGCAGGTTATGGTTATGGCTCTATATGGGTCGAATGTTTGACTTAATCATCGATACAAGATCGATCGTCTAAGTCAGATAATTATACCCTTTAAAGGATAACGGAAAATATACAACGGAGTAGTAAATAAATAAGAGTAGTAAATGAATCACTATGATCACTTCAGTCCAAAAATTAATAATTATCAAAACCCTACTATAAATACCACATACTAGTATGATTTTTAAAATATAAAGATATTATATACACTTACTAGAAGATCATGTTACTAAATTAATACTAACTGAATCAATGATTGAATACAATCGTGAGGAACCTGCACTCAAAACGTATTTAGCCACGAATTCGAATTATAGGCAGTTAGAATTAAATAACAGCCATCTAATTATATTTAATATAATGTAGTCAACAAAAGTTTATACCACCTACTCGTTTCCGAAGACGGATGTCCCATTATCTAAACACTCGTCCCATTGATATGTCACGTCTAGAGACTGACATTGTTTAAAAGTTTATTATCATATCAGCTGTTGTAATGCTTTTCGAATTATATTATACTTTTTTCCCTAATTAAATATTATAATTTATTTTCATATGGTTGATTAGGGTAGTATTCAATATGCAGACATATTTGAATATTTATTATTACACTAGCAGAACCCGCGGCTTCGCTCGCGCTAAAACTACAAAAAATCTCTGAAAAGGTAGTTTCATACAAACTTTAATCCCCTATTTTACTCCCTTATCGGATGAATTACGAAAAATGCTAAAATACCTATTCATTTAATTTTATTGAAGAGCATTAGTACCAAGTTTCAAGTAATTCTGTTCATAAATATTTTTTTGGATTGTGTTATATTGTGTTTTCCCGTGCGAATTAGATAATCTCCCGTTGTAAAAAGTTGCCTATGTCACTCTCCGGCTCTCCAACTATCTTCACACAAAAAATCACGCTAATCAGTCACTCCGTTTCGACGTGAAAGAAGGACAAACAAACACACTTTCACATTTATAATATATAATTTGTAAGTATGGATATAGCATAGTTGATTAATATATTTCTATGAAAATGCTAATTTAATAAATTGTGGGAAGCATCTACATAATTGTAAGTGTGCGTGTTCAATTACTTGCTTGTAATATATGTATGCCATATGTTAGGTATTGTAAACATATTTAGCAAATTACTCGTATAGTTACAGGATAAAATATAATTTAAATGTTTTAATATTAAATTAGGTATTTATATGACTTTTTTTAAATATTTATTTACTAGCGGCTCAGCTTTACTCGGATTCGCCTCTAGAAAAACAAAATCAAATCTATCCCACAGGAACCGTTTTTCCGGGATAAAAATTAGCCTATGTGCTATTCCAGACTAAAATCTAGGTATATCTTGGCCAATTTGATTCAGATCCGTTCAGCCGTTTTGGTGTGTTTGAGTAACAAACATCCAAACATCTCAACTTTCAAATTTGCAATATTAGTAAGATTTATAGCTAGAAATAGCACGAGCAAAATTAAAATATTTTTTAAGTACAGTATTAAGTACAGTTTTCATTAAATTTCCATTTTAATAAGTCACCTAGTTTTCGTAGTGTCGAGGGACTAAGATATCGAACGCGTTCATCTCAACTGTGTTGGGAATGCTTCGAGTTTTTCAAATGCGTTTATTGCTTAGTTTGTTCATTGGAGACGTCAGTCAGATAGGCCAATTTAATCAGTTACGGATACTATACTCTATATTATTATCGTTCTAGAACTTCGTCATGGTATTCGGTATATTTCTTTGTTTTGATTTTTAAATATAAAATTCATAGAGAAAAATAAATAAGTACATCACTGTTTGAATGTAACTTAATAGTTTTTTCAAGTTTAATAATATTTTTGTACTTAATATATAACAATGGCACTAAGCTTTTAAACATTTTAGTATTAGACAAAGGACATGTTTTTACTTTCGAATTTTGCCACTCCCTAGATTCCGGTAGGTACGTATAAACTTTTAGTAGACTAGCTATTGCCATCATTCCTTGTAATGTAAACTGCTCGTTGTCTCGGTTATCCATTGTTTTGCTTCGTTATATGATTATTATTAATATTATGATTGAATAAACCAAACATTCGCTTTATTGAGTCTATCAAGTGGCTAAGAACAAGCATCGATATTATATGGTAATGACAGGCAAAGTGGAACTTTTGTGTGTTAATATCGATGGAGGATTCCAATTTCCGCAAAAATGTGAATAGAATGCGGTATCATCTGGAGTCGTCGCCCCTGCAGAGCGGGGGGTAAGCGGGACGAGGAGCGCGGTACAGGGTGCTGAGGGTAAGGGAGGGGAGGGTGGTGTGAAGCGCGTGTCGGTGTAGCCGGGAAACACCGTGTGCCGGCGGGGTGGTGGCCGCGGCTGCGCGCTGTCCGCCGCAACCCTCCGGGACGTCATATGCGCCGCACCCCACGCGCACACCCGCATACAACCCTCGTTTTTACCAACGAAAAGACCGATCATTACCCGCTCATTCATACAATTCTTCCTCCATCATTGCTATAGCAACGATTAAGCTTAAGTTGAATATAAACTTATACTGACCGTTCGCAGATCGCGCCGCGGGCGACGTTGCCTCCTTACTTCGAGAATTTTCCTTCTCCTTTCCATTGTTTCCTAAGAATAAAGAGAATTATTAGAATAACAGCTGCAACATATTTGATTAGTACAATTATGAAACGTGATAATTCTCACGTTTCATACAGATAATATCCAACCTGCAGTTCAATTTGTTACGAGCGAAAAAATGTATTTCTTGATTTCAACAATAGCTCATCATCTGTAGCAGAATAATAATCGATAAAATAATTCGTGTATACAAATATTGTAAAAAAGTGAACGTTTATTGAAATACTCGTAGCTTTAAAAAATATTTAAAAACAATACTATGGCTTTTATATTTTTTTGTCAATGTTATATTTTTGTAATTTTTATAGTTGTGTTATGTAGCTTTGTGTTATCATATTTTGGAACCTGCTTCTTAGAACTTTATGTTACATTCCTATGAACAATCCTTTTTATATCAAAAGGCGTAGTTGTTTCGTTGTTAGTGGTGACGTAGATAACAGTTATTATCAATTTTATTAATATGATAAATAATATAAGCGATAAGTGCATGAACATTGATTTAATGATGTAATTTGTATTTTTAATAAAGTGTAATTCGTCATTACATCCATGAGTATAAAAAATAAATGAGTACATAATCTTAGATAAGACTGGACATTCGAAGAATTTTACTGCCGTGGTGTTAATGTTACAGTATTTAATATATTTTTACGACGTAGGTAGAAGTAGATAATTTCAGTTCTTTAAAAGTTTATAATATTTTAAAGAATGTAAATGTTAGCAGTAATATGATTGTTAATTATTTTTTCCATTAAGAACTTTAAAACGTTTTAAACCATATACCTATGTACCTATTATTGGGTGTTTGCAGTATGATTTTCCCTATGCCATATCGTCCTGTCGGCTGTCGGTGGCGACTGGTTACATATCATTGTAAAGCGGAAATATCAGGGTACAGGTAGAGGCGGGAGGGAGTACGGGGGCACATTCCCCGGGAGGATCCTTTATGCCGCGGCCGCCCGTCTGACCGGTTCCAGCGATCGTTCAACCCATCGAGCTCGCAAATTTAAAGATTGACTTTCTCCAACATTTTTTTTAAAAACACTTAAATATTTTTAAATTTATCAAAAAAAAAACAATTATACTCAAAATAGTCTGTAAGTGACCTAGGTAATGAAGAAAAATTTCTTTATCAAAAAATAACACGTTTTCAGAAATGTACATTATCAGTGGCCGTTGAAACATAAATCTATCTAGTTTCCAATGGATAACCAACGTCATATCTAACAATTGATAAAATCTTTGTTCACACAAGTTCGATTGCATCAAATTTTAATGATTGTTTGACGAAGCGGACGAGCTGACCTTGGCAGTGGCGTTGACTTGTTCGGCCTCAAATCGCAACCAACCGTCGCGGCGCGCCTTACAAGTAACACATGGTCAAAATACCATATGTAAGTTATCCCTATTTGATGCCAACATGCAACAGATGTTGCTATATATCACTTTATCGTCTAATATTCGATAAGTCATCATTCGATCATCATTCCGAAATTAAATATCCGCTATCGGGAGTCAAAACTAACGCTTTATAAACCGCTGAAGTTGTCTAGACAACAGGGAAATAACGCTCAGGTCATCCATACAAATGGTATTTTAATAAAATTTAATATTACGCGTTTTACCGTCAGGGGAAAATGGGCATAACACCATGGTGGCTATTATTAGCACTGACGCCATTCTCGAGTAATAACATGATATATGTACGTAATCACTTTAAAAATGTATTTGAATTGCTGCTTAATAAAACTTTCTCTTTAGCGACACGGGGAATATTTTTATAATTATTATTTAGATGAAAAATACCTATATTATAATATATAATTAAATAAAGAACAATAGAAAATTATCAATCAAATTACGTATTTTTAATATATAAATAAAAAATAAATATATACTTATAGGCTAAAACATGGATTAACTGGCCGCTTAAGCACCTTGGCCAGTTTAAGTCACTATAGATTAAATATAAATCATTGAAATTATACTTCTGCGATATTACTGATTAGAGAATAAACCCTTTATTTGAAAGAAAATAATTCATGAAATAAAAATACAGTTCTTATAATTTTTAAATTTATTTAAATAAAATTTATGAAATTTGACCAGTAATTAGCCATCAAAATCAATAACTAGCATATTGTCTATTAGTTACTAGCTAGAACAATATTTGGCTTAAATAATAATAAAATAGAATCGTAAAATATAAAAAATCAACAAAAACTTAAAAGCATATATTCTTCTATTATTCAAAACACAAAAAAACACTTAGACTTAATAAATCTCACATATTATTAGTAGGAACTTGTTTACTTGAGCTTTGGCACATAATACTGCATATTTGAGAAAACCCTTGGTTACGTGCTTCTTCACGAATTGCGTTATATAGTAGGTCAGCCTTAGACGAATCTCAGTTGCCTACTTTGTAAAAATTATGACACAAAAAACTGTCGCCTTCATCGATAGCAATGTGTATTCGGTAATAAGCTGGTGTACAATTTTCATGAAATTGTTTAAAACATTCAGTGCAATCTACCAGTTTTCTTTTTATATAACCGGCACATTCGACACAAAGTGGTAAATGGTCGTTCTCAGTACATTTAGCATTAACATCCATTCTTTGATTGCTACAAGAAGGACCATCGTAGCTAGCTAGCATACTTATAGCTGATACAGTTTTAGCAGAAGGACCTCCAATTTTTTGCTGTTTATTAACGGTTTTCTTCTTTTTTCGCTGGGATTCTTTCACTAACTTATTTTCTTCTCTCAAACGCTTGCGATTTTCTTTTTCTATTTCTTCTTTCAACTTTTTTCCTTCTTTTCCTTCATTATATTTATGTAGTAATTTGATGTCACTGCAAAAGGCATTCTTTCAATTTGTGGGTAGAACACGAAAAAGGAAACATTACAGTAAAACTTTCTTTAGGTGAAGATTTCTCGATTTCATAAATTTTCTTACATACTTTTTGAGCTAGAACATTTCCTGTTTTGGGACAGACGCTAAACCCTGTTTCATCGCCATTAAAAACGCGGTTTGGTTCCTGTATAGCTTCATTTAGTTGCTCCTCGTCAATATACTTACCGTTTTTTTACGCATTCACTCAAACACAAACTTGTTCACTGACTGTCAAAAAGAAACGACCTTTGGGCGCTAATTTTTTAAGTAGGTTGGCGAAATTATGAACGAAAATGAAACTTAAAACTACAAATAATATTTAATAATAAAAATAGATGTCGTTAGGCGTCTCGATTTCTTATTTTAAACAGTTTAGTGGGACTTGGCCAGTTACCGCAGATGGCCAGTTATACCTAGTTTACCCTATATATATATATATATATATATATATATATATATATATATATATGTACTACGGGTGTTATAAAATGTATAAACTATTATTTTCATTTGACATTACATGAGAATTTATGTGTAGGTACAGGTGTTGTCTGAATTGGCATTGCATGGTATTATTTAGGTGATGACCTTCTGCAAAGTACAGTATGGAAACAGGTTTTAAATTAATTGCAATAAAATGAAGTTTCTTTTCACGTTTCAGATCCATTATTTTATCAATTACAAGTTGCTCAATATTTTGTTGCTAAAGTCATATTTATTGTTTTAAAAAATAAAGGGCTTTAAATATTTCAACAAGTTTTTACTCGGCAAAATATCTAACTTGAGTCTATTATACTTCAGACGTTGAAAATTTTAAGTACAAAGCTTTTGTCATCAGCTATACATAAAAGTGTGTCTTATACAAAAGAGCTATAATGCTTTCGAGCGTGGCGCCTGGCCATATTAAATTACTACGAGGCCGTACTCGAGCGTGTGATACGAAAGGATACCCTAAGGTTAAGCTTAGTAATGTCACGTACAATTTAATTTTCGCCAGAGTAGACTAATCTCATGGTTATCTATACATATAATAAAATTGTAACTAAGCCGAATCTGTACATAAATTTTTTTTTTGGAAAATCTTATTGAAATAAACATTATTATTTATTATCGATACGGAGACCGAATCTATAGTTTTTAGAATTTTTGTCTGTCTGTCTGTTACCGCATCACAGAAAAACCACTGGAGGGATTTTGATGAGATTTGGTATGGTGATAGCTGGTTATCCGGGTCAACATATAGGATTTTTTACCGCGGGAAAATGTCTCATTTCTGAGAAAAAATACAAAACTACAATGTAAGAGAGTATACTAATATTTAAAACTTAAGAATTTGGTTTTCGGTCATCTGAACGCGGGCGGAGCCGCGGGTAATGCTAGGCTATCATATAAATACCTCGATGGTAACTTTTGTTAACAATTCTGTAACAACTATTTAATATTTCCTGTATTATATTTACCTCAAATATTGTTATAAAATATTATTTCAAAACATTTAGATACATTAAATATTATAATTATCGGAAGGCAAAGAGGAAAGAAGTTTTATCCGCGCCAGTATCGCGCCATATGGTGCTGTCTGACGACAGTCATGTCCATAAAAGCTTTTATGTTGTTCGACTATAAACCCCGCACTTAGGCTCTCATATCAACATGCATTATGAAATAGACCACAGTAGGTACCTTTTCATTTTTTTAATTATACTAAGTTGCTCTATGAGTTCACATAAAACTAAAAAGTATTATATGAAACTAATTATATAAAAGGTATACATTCATAAAATATTATTTTATTACAAACTGTCACCTTCTTTCTCATCATCACTTGATCAAGGAATATTGTACGAAAAGCTTTTACTTTAGGTAGGTATATCGCTCCATCGACCGGATGTAGTCATAGATTTGGTCGGAGACGGATGTGTCGCCATTTGCATGCGCGCCGCGAACTCCCGACAATGCGCAGAAGGGACCAGCACCAGAATAATGAACGTAGGGGAAGCCTTTTTTACAATATGAAATAAATAAACCACTTGATTGAGAAAATCAAACGGTATATAAATCATTATTTTATTGGTATATAATAATCCAAACTAATATTTAAAATGTGTCAGTGTGTTTGTTTGTTTGTCCTTCTTTCACGTCGAAACAGAGTATCCGATTGTCGTATTTTTTTGTGATGAGATAGTTGGAGGGCTGGAGAGTGATATAGGCTACTTTTTACCGCGGGGGATTATCTCATTCCCACGGGAAAACATGTTATAATACAACCCAAAAATTATTTATGATCAGAATTATTTGAAACTTGGTTTTAATGCTCGTCAATACAATTAGATAAATACGTGTTTTAGCATTTTTCGAAATTAATCCAGGTACGGGGTAAAATATGGGATGAAAGTTTTTATAAAACCTACATTTTTAGTTTGTTTTTTGTAGTTTTAGCGCAAGCGAAGCCGCTAGTTCCGCTAGCATTACAATAAAGAAAAAAAAAACACTGCATTAAGTAGGCGAGTATAGAGTAAAACAATACTTATATACGTTTCTGGCTATTTAAATAATATATAATATTAATTATGTTTAAGTCACAGTTATAATATAGGTAGGTATATGTCTAAACATATTTCCTTTTTATAAAAATAGCTATAATATACTAAACTATATCATATAGTGCATTATCTACAATGTAATGTAACAAGGATTAGAATGAACGATAATAACGGAGGTCTTTACTCTATCACTGCGATAATGTGTAACCATTTACCACCAGTTACATTAACATAGGAACATGCATATTATTATGATACTAGCATTGCCCGCGGCTTCGCCTGCGTTCAGATGACCAAATACTAAATTCTTAGGTTTTACATATTAGTATACTCTTACATTGCAGTTTTTTGTATTTTTTCTCGGAAATGAGACATGTTTCCGCGGTAAACAGTATCCTATATGTTGACCCGGATAACCAGCTATCGCCATGCCAAATTTCATCAAAATCCCTCCAGTGGTTTTTCTGTGATGCGGTAACAGACAGACAGACAGACAGACAGACAGACAGACAGACAGACAGACAGACAAAAACTATACATTCGGCCTCTTTATCGATAATAATGTTAATTTCAATAAGATTTTCCAAAAAATATTTGATTTACAGATTCGGCTTAGTTACAATTTTATTATATGTATAGATTAGAATTGTATAATTTTAATTTTTACATAATATACAATCAAGCATATCCTAGTAATCATAACAATCTATTTAGATATTTTTACATTTGAAAAAGTAGGTAAGTCAACATATTTTAAAATATTTTAATAAATTGGTTCTGGCCTACATCCAAGAATTTGTTCATTGCGAGAAATACATCTCGAAGAAAGTTTTCATTTGCAATACTAAAGTGAAAGTTGTATATCAAATTAAGAATAATACCTAACGTCTGAATAATGAGCATTTCTATGAGAGAAGTAACATTGTACTGTAAGTGGTCATATGTAGGGCGGCCGTGCGGCCGACTCTCGGCCTCAAAGCCTGACCGGTTGCCATCTTTGGCAGCGACCGGTTTGTGAACATACGCTCTTTGTACATAATACATTAAAACCCAACAACTTAGTACGCCTTTTAAAAACTTTAATATATCCTGCGAAATGTAATATATCTACTTTTCATCAATAAATTAATGTCAATTTTCATCATACAAATTACCCTAGTAATGAATAATAAATGATAATATATCGTGAGCAATAAACGTTAAATCAAATGATATATCCATCTTGTTAGACGGTTCTTTTAATCATGGGATATCGATACGGTTGTATTAGCATCCTCCCTCGCGGTATGTCACGAGGTGAGTCATGAGCAGCCGACAGGGCGAACGACTGACGACGGCTGATTCACTGCACGCTTACTATTATGCACATATTGATGTCGCAGGTAACAGAGTTGCCATTGTATGCTGGATGCTATTGTGCAGCCGAACTTTTGAGGTCCCCTAACCGATTGTTAGCGCCTTATTGTGTTATTGTTCCGCGGGACGAAAGTGTAGGTTTATTATTTAGATTGGAACAATAACAGTACCTATTTAAGCCCACAAACGATTTGATAGTCTTCGTTAAGTTGCACGTGTAGAGACGCACAATTTACAAACGCCAGTCAGTTTATTACCTTTTAAGTATGAAACGACCGATTCAAACGACAGTGAAAATCAATATGCTCATATTTATTAAATAATTTTTTTTAGATGTTTAAATTTTTTTAACGCGCGATTATTTTTTTGCAATGATAAGAAGTTTTATCAGACAGTTTTTAAGATAATCTATTCTTATTTAACACATATATGTATAGGTATATATATTATGTAATATCCATACTAATATTTTAAAGGTGAAAATTTGTGAGGATGGATGGATGGATGTTTGTTACTCTTTCACGCGAGAACAGCTGAACGGATCTTGATGAAATTTAACACAGAGATAGATTATAGTCTGGAATAGCACATAGGTTACTTTTTATCCCGGAAAATGTACGGTTCTCGTGGGATAGATTTGTTTTTTCTAAATGCCACATTTATAAATATATAAATACAATATGGATACAATAATTATTTTATATACAGGTAATAAAAATTACTTAATATGAGCATGTATTTTTTTAATATTACGTTTAAACTGTTAATACAACAAACTAGCGCCATCTTTGGGCGACAGTAGAAAGTAGAATAAAACTGTCAAAAAAGCACTAGTTTGGACGTTTAATACTCGTATGATACATACATTATTAAAATAACGTTATTCTTATTAAAGCAAAGTGTATTATTATATGTATGTATATTAATTTTAATACACAGATAAAAACAAAATTGCATTTAAAATTTTATTACCAACTTTCTACTAGATATACTCGTATGTATGTAATCTTTATATATATAATTCTTCTGTGAGTGTGTATGTCACTGAACTTCTCTCAAACGACTGGACCGATTTTGATGAAATTTTTTGTGTGTGTTCAAGGGGATCTGGGAATGGTTTAGATTCACAATTTGAATAATAATTTTCATCAAAAAAATTATTAAAAAAAGTTTGAAATTTTCAAATTAAAGACGTGTAGACAGGACAACGTCTGTCGGGTCCGCTAGTATATGTATATTTTTTTTATTCAATTGCTACGTTATCTTCAGTAAAAATTATAAAGGTGAAGGTATATTACCTTACCTTACAAATCTTTTCAACTATATATGCGTACTTATGTAAATTAATATAAAAGTTTGATCCAATTGATCAGATAGTTTTCAAAATCATTTGCTTGTTGTATATAACGATTAATTACCTATTAGTTTATTTCCACTTATCGATCTTTCTAGACCTGGCCTAATAATTTATTATACAAAATTTTCTTACTAGTTCCCATATAACAATTTTTATCTTGATATATGTATAATGATTCATACATTTTACAACATTTTATCGATAACATGCCATAAACATTTTAGATAAATTTTCGCTATGCACTTAAAACATAAGTATGAATATTAGACAGAAATGTGTGCATTCATGGTAATTTTAATAACGTAGGTACAAAAAATAATAAATCTCATATCGCAGGTTCGATTCTAATTTGAGACGACAAACAAAGCGCGGTGATGAACACGACATCTATGCGCAGACTCTGTACGTATTAAGTTGAAGATCATATTTTAATTGTGTGGTTATTAGAAATTACTTTACATATTTGCTACTTTCAGCGTCTTTTCTAAATCAAAAGTTTGACTCTCAAGTCATAGTGCGTAAAGATGTCGTTACTTTCTCTTGCATATTTGGTAAGTATGACTATTGCATCAAAAGTACAATTATGTATATATAATATTTATATACTTTGCAAGACATAAGAAGTAATAAATTGTTAATACCTTTTCGTATTAGCAGACTTGTGACTCTTCTCAGTGCTTCTCTAGGAGATTTTTGGAAGAATTTGGGTGTTAAGTTCGGTGGTAATGTGAGAGGTTTGCGAGCACCCGAGTTATCCCATGACACAGGATGGTCGGACGCCATTTTCGAAGATGTTGTTATTCTATCCAAGTGCTCCGTTGAAGCCGGCCTGTTATGATGAAAAAATATATAAATAGAATATGAGATTTTAGTACGAGGCTTTGTTTAAACTAATCTTTTTATTGTAAACTAACGTAAATAAAGTTTTTATTTACGTTAGTTTACATTTTTTTTTTATTAAACATAAAATTCATTAACTTAAAGTGAAGTCTCTATCGCCAGTTACAGAACAAATCTCAGTTTAGACTTGTATTATATACTCTATAGATTGACACAGTTATAACAATCTTATACAGATAAATAAAATTAAAGTGTCTGTTTGTAATGTCAAAATAACAGCTTTTTACTAAATGCATATGCATATTATATGGTATTTATAAGAAAAACACAATTTTTAAAATTTATGCTTGTCTGTCTTGTTTGTTCCGGCTAATCTCCGAAACGGCTGGGCCGATTTTGACGGGACTTTCACTGGCAGGTAGTTGATGTTATAAGGAGTAACTTAGGCTACTTTTATTTCAGTAAAAGAATTAGGGTTCCGCTCAAAAAAATTAAAATGTACCTAGGGACGAACCCGAGCGAAGCGAGGGTTAGCCGCTAAGTTTAATATGTACATGCATAACAACATATGAATTATTATTATTAGAAACTTAACTCAAAAGAAAACGGGAAGAACATATATGTAATTAAAATTGGAGAAACAAAAATATGAAACCCTCATACCAGGTAAAGGAATAAGCTAGATCCGCCATCTCTGATCACCTCTGTTAACCCATAAATAGGTATGTCATTTTACAATCGCTAACGAATAAAAATTTGAAAAATTGTATTGAAATCAGAAATTCAAGCGTTATATCAAAGAAACGTGATGCGACGTTCTCATATAATTTAAATTTCTATTATCGATATGAAACTATATATTCTATACATTTCTTTAATCATTAGTGGCTATAACGACTTACCCTCGCTTGGTTCGGGTGCGTCCCTAGGTACTTTTTATTTTTTGGAGCGGAACTCTTAATTCTTTTTCTAAAAAAATAATTTACAAAAATAAAAAAACCGACTGAGTATATACATACATATATGTATATTTTCTAATAGCTGCGTGTCTGTCTCCGACTGCATTATACTATGTTCTTTTATCAACTTGTTCTCATCTTTTTAGTTCGCTTTATACACAGTCGGCTTTTTTTTATTTTAGCAAATTATTTTTTTATTTGCATCTTTTACTTTTACTGAGTTATACATTTTTAAATTTATTAAACGTATCTTATCCTCAATTACTCTTAAACATATAAGTTGTATATATTTTTGTAATTACCTCTTAAAACACTATATTTTAATACCCCACTTAATTGATTCGGGCGAATTCGGTTTTTTAAGATATAAATTGGCGTCTTAGATCCGCCATTTTGAATTTTAATGATATCTGTATAGCCTACGACTCGCGTTATCAAGTCGAGTCAAACGACGTATGAATAATCGAAATCGGTTAAGCCTCTTAGTAATTACGAGGGAACATAGGATCAGACACACATAAATAAATGTCAAACACATAACCCTCTTTTGGGTTTCACCGCATTTAGGTAATAAGAGTAGCCTAACTCCTTATAACATCAGTTATCTCCAAGTGAAATTTCTGTCAAAATAAGTCCAGCCGTTTCGGGGATTAGCCAGAACTAACAAAGGTAGAATTTTTTTTTAAATTGTGTTTTACCTTAAATAATTTCATATGTACGCGTATTTAGTACAAAACTGTTATGTTAACGTTACAAACAGACACTTCAATTTTATTTATCCGTATGTATATATATCGATTTACAATCATGTATTTTTGAAAAAAATTACATGTCAAATATTTAGTTATGGTGATTCGGATAACTATTATAATAAATTACTATCATGGTCGTAGACCGTAGTTAACAAGTTTATGGACTGTGTAATATAATTATTATTTAACAGACCAAAAACTTTCTTGGCCACACACCTTGTGTTTAAGTATTGCTCATAATGTTTTGTTGGGTTAAAAAAGAGTTAAAATATTTTTTTAAAACTCTGTTTAAAAATAAATCTATGTAGTAATGAGACTCTGAGATCGTCTTATTTACTAACGTAGGACTATTTACACAGTGATGCATATCATTGCTTAGAATGTTAGTTTTTTCCATACTTATTTGTTTATAGTAGGTAAGACGTGCATAGAAGCACCGGATGTGGATAATTGTGCAAGAAGCGACAGTGAATGTTTGTGCGTGTAGCGTACGCGATGCGTGTGGTTCGTGAGATGCATCGAGCTCTTTCAATGTCAAAGTGCTTCTATACATAAATGCATTAGATATCGTCTAAATTACACGACTACTGAGATGTTGGAGATGTAAATAATAGATTGCAGTGAAGTAAGATATAGAATTGTGCTTCGCTAATGTAAGCAAAATTATCAGCTTTCATTTGATAATTTAGAGAACTTCATGTATTCTATTTACTTTAAAATCGTTTTTACGCTAATAAAAATATAGATATTAAGTTTGTGAATTTGGATATAGGAGTAATATCCGGAATAACTGAACCTACTCTGGATACGCTTTCACTAATATAAAACTACATTATCGTGGATTTCTATAAGCTTTTCTATTGTTATATGATGAATATTTATATTAAAAAATCACAATATTCTTAATTTAAACCGTTAGGGTCTTTATTTTATAAATACATATAATGGTAATTAATATCTGTGTTTATTACCTAATACCTAACTAGCAAATAACAAGTGTTGATTGGTGAGATATTTTTGCAACTGAGACGATTTATAAAACTTTTTTTTATTAATGAATGACAAAAACATAAAATCACAATTAATTGCTTATAAACAAGTTAAGTAAATTGCTACAAACAGCTACATCCAATTTTTAATGAAAGCCTTTGACCTATAATTTTATAAATAAAATGTGTATTAAGTGAAATAAAACCAGATAAATGATTATGTTAATAATTTTACTTTTTTCATACCTATTTCTTTGTCGTGGGTACCAGCCGCGCGGTGGGCCGCCCAAGCGAAGCAGGTCAGCCCCAGTACACACACCTGTTGCACCCATTATAGAACCTCGTCCATAGCCTCCTAATGTTGCACTGCTTCCTAGCCATCAAAAGAGCATGCATGTATTAAATTTGGCTAAAATTTTTTGATACCATATACTCTCCTAATGATATTCCTGGGATAGGTTTAAAATCTTTCCCCCAAAGAGTGGTAAAATTTGTATGGAAATCAATAGTTTTTTGAATTTAAAATAAATAAAAAAGCAGCCCGGCGAAGCCAGGATATGCTGCTAGTTTACTTAATGAATGAAAAATGAAGTTTTTAGAGGTTTAACTTTAGTTATTAATGACTGAACTTGTCAATAGATGGCGTTGCATAAATATATACGTAGAAAAGTAAAAACAAACATTTCTAACATTTTATATATTAAATAAGGTAAGCGAATATACATATGAAAACTACACCAGCCTCTAATGAAGTGTTCTTGTCTTGTATATGTCGTAGGAAAAAAGTAAGAGCCGTTAAATTATAATTTCACTAGTGAAATTATGATTCATACACTTGTGCTAACATGATTATTACTTGTCTAATGATGAAGGAAAACATCGTGAGGAAACCTGTATGTCTAAACCTAGCAAGTTTTCGAAAGACAGGTGAAGTCCGCCAACCCGCACTTGGCCAGCGTTGTGGACTATGGCCTGATCCCCCTTGTATTAAAGGAAAGCCCGTGCCCAGCAGTGGGACGTTATAAGAGGCTGCATACTATCATACAAAAACTAAAATATTTACCTAGAAATAAAAAAATAATAATAATCGGAGCTTATTCATTATCATTTTCTTCAACAGTTGAAGTTACACAAGTTTCATAAATTTCATAAATAATATATAGAGGTCAATGTTTCATCTGCTCTTAAGATTTTAGATAGGTTAGGGACTTGTAACAAATAGTGGATATATGCCGCTATTTAATAAATAAATGTATATGTTGGGACATAAACACACAGCACCATCTAATTCTAGTTCCATAGTAAGCTACGAGGCTTCTGTTATGGATACCAGATAGTGGACACACACAGTGGTACCACACATATATATCTTACTTAAAATACATACATATTATAAATATAAACAGCCATGACTGGAGTACAAACATTCGTGCTCACCACACGAATGAATGCCCCCAGCGGGACTTGACCCCGCGACCGTTAGCACAGTAAGTAGGGTCACTACAAATTGAACCAAACGTGTTGTCAATATGGAATAATATGGGAACTATAACAGCTCTGGTATAATACGCGAACTATAACTGCTCACGGTTTTTCCCGTTGCATAATCGCACATATATTTTTGAATATCCTTGTAGCTATTAGATAGTTAAATAAGGAACCAAACCTATAAATGGTTTAGTTCATGCTCAATATGGCAGTTATATGTTTTTTATTAATTTGTTGGAGATCGTAAATAAAATAAAATTTATTTATTTATTAATATGTTTTGATTGCAAGGCGCATCTTCACTGTTGTATAATATTTTCGCATTATTTCAAGTATTCAAGGTTTAGAATTGCTTCAGTATATAACCTATCTCAGAGTGTAATTTGCTTTTTTTAATTTAGCTACCACATTTGAACCTATAGCGCCTAAACGAATTAATAATTTTGATGAAAGAGGAAGTACAGGTGGATATACATAATATATAATATTTTAGTCTATTATAAATAACTTGTTATTTATCATTGCAACTGATTTAAATTGCAAACTATTAAAATGCTTCTATGCAACTATATATATGCCATACATTGATATCATCTTTAATTAATTCGATAGAAATGCCTGCACTAGAATAGCAAGGATAAGGTGAAGTTTTGTAAACACATTGTTGTAGCGCAGCGCCATCTATTGATAAAATTATATTATTCAACTTGAACTAATAGACAAGAGGATCGCACTCTGCAGTAAAATACATTCTATATGTTAAACCAATAAAATATGGGGTATCACATATCTGTGTGCCAGATTTTCTCTAAATCGCAAACCTTTACCAAGAAACAAGTTTCTAAGATTCATAATTTCTACTACTTTTAAGTTTCTCATTTCGCTTTCTATTTTCGTCGTTTATTGTCGTGTTCTAGCTTTAACCTTTTTCAATTAGTCTATATAAATTTCAATTTCATTCAATTCAATTAGTCTATAGATATTTCTATCTGTAATAATAATACTTGTATTATAATCATAACATATAAAACCAACCTATAGTTTGTATTGAACTCATAGTGTTATTCCGTGGAGGTCCCGTCGAGTTCCTAGGCGGTGTCCGTGGGACGTCGCAACCCCGAGCAAACACCGGCGTTTCGGGTAAGCTCGCAGATGTCTGCAGCTGACCTCGTACGTTAGATGTCTCTCTATTCTGACGCTGCAACGTTCTTCGTCTCGCGCCACTTGCCCCAGTGTCTACAAAAAAGATACTTTGATATAGATATGATCTTCTTCTTCTCCCTGCCCATTTCCCAATCACTTGGGGTCGGCGCAGTACATCTTCTGTACTGCTGAAAGGATTTGGCAAAAGTTTTACGACCGGCCGCCTGCCTGACGTCAACCCTCCTATATATGATATAGATATGAGAATACCAAACATTACTAAAACTCTTGATTTTCAGAAATATGTTTTTAAAAACAAGGCGTTACAGATTATAAGTATTTAAACTTTATTGCATCGAATAAAAATAAAAAAATCAGTCATAATAGCGATCTAAATATTAATATAATTTAGTTGTATTAAGTTTTAAATAGCCATATAAAAATTGAAAATAAAGATATAGTAAAGCCATTTATTTATGATGATGGCTTTTTTCCCATCTCTCTGATTTAATTATATATCTACATATCAAAAATCTTTTTTTTGTAACTTTTGTGTACCTATAGGTAAAGTTAAATAATAAAATAAGATCTCCGAGGCCTAGTGGAAGAATGTCGAGACATTTTAAATAACCTCTTTTTTAAATAAATAAAGACTCATTACTGTAAAAATATATCTGATATAATGATTTATGATCATCTAACCACGTAACTATATTTTTATTATTTCTTAAATATTCCTACATCTGCCAAGTCATTCTATTTATTAAAGAAATATAGATATGTAATATTGGTACAGCTTCTGTAAAATGTTGTTATTTAACTAATCAGGTAACAATTTATGACAAAGTTGCTTGAGAGATGCTTTCATATTACATAGGTACCGAATAAATTACCCGACTTGGATTTAAGGATGTCAAACCCTTTTACGGTAGACGAACTGCGTTACGAGACTTAGTTTTTTTACATGTTATGTTTTTCATGGGATAACAGTAAATTAATTATTTCTTTATTATTTCATTTTTAATATTCATTATTATATTTTACATTTACATTTAAAAGTCAGCGCTTTGTTTCTACAACATTATTAGATGATTTTTACAATTTATATTATTTATTATTATGTTTTCTTACCCGTAGGTAGTGTTCTTCTATCGGTGGAGCCACTTTTGAAATTACTATTCCTTCTATTCTTATTGTAACTGGTCTCCATGGATCTCGTTTTAAGGCTGTTTGTGGTATCGCGGTGCGGCGGCACTGCTGGGGGTTCTGAGGGTCTGTGAATTGAAATCTAGTATGTAAATATGTTATTTAACCATTATTTAAATGTTAGTGTTACTCATTAATTCCGGTATTCTCGACAATTGTTTCTTTTTAAAACAGGGTAATGAAAAAGTAGAAGGTGACATGACTAGCTCTACCCTAATAAAAAGTTAAATATCACACCCGTTTGAAAGTATAATATTCTTCATAACATCCATAACAGTTCTAGTTTTGTGCTCGATATTGATATGCAGTTATTTTTTCATTAAGATTCGAGTGAGAGTAGTTATGATTAAATTAAAAATATGTCAGAAAGAAATGAACACAATTATTCAAATTCAGTGCCGATGTTTGCTTAAAATTATTATTATTAATCGAATTTCAACGATCCAATTATACGAAAATTAATGAACGAACGAATGACATTGTTTTCCGGACAGAGAGAATGTCCTAAACATCCATTAAATAATAAGCTGTGTTTTAATAGAAGAGTAATTGGTAAATGTACCTATTAGAAAACTTTCATATGGTCAGCAAGAACAAGATGCCAAGCAATTTCTATAAACATTAAACACATATTATATATGTACATGTATTCTTTATTATAATAGGCAATATTATTGCACTCGAAGAGTTTTTTAAAAAAGTCTGTGATAGTTTATCTATTTTAATATCTATCTTGGAAAGTTAGTTTAAATTATCAAGATAGGAAAACGATAGCAAAAATAAACGATATCAGATACGTTGTTTTTATCGAAAAGGTACTCAATCCTTGTACTTAACAACAACGATATGACAAGCTTATTATGAAACAAAATTTAGACACTGCACGTCATTTTTATGCATTTTTAATGAAATGAAACTAACATATACGGAGAACATTTAGACAAAAATGTCAGCAATGTGGCCGGACGTTTCATGTTTCCAAAATATTTTGAGGTAAAGATCACTATTTCGGAATACAACAAAAATAATAAATAGGTTATGTTTAAATAACAATTCCCAAGTTTATCACCTCCAGGTAAATTTCTAAGAAATTAATTAAATTTCTAAGAAATCTATTGTTAACTGTAACGCCGGTGTGTCCGCGGTCGTTGAGGGATTATCTTACATAGTATTTACCAATTGCCTAATTTAAAATGACTCAAAAATTAATTTTATTCATTTTCTCTTACCTCCTTCTAGATTCCAAAGTCGGCGTTGGTAGCGTGTCAGCTTTTTTACCATGGCGCCTTTGTGTCGGTTGCATGATTTCTGTATATTCATCCTCTACTTCTTGAACTGGCGAGGGAGGTAGAGGTGGAAATTTAGGCGATTCCGGGGTTTGTGGTAATGGCCCCATTTCATGGACAATACTCGGCGAGGGAGGCAATTGATTGTGTCTATATGGATGTTCCACTATTTGTACATTTAGGGGAAAATCTCCTCCACTAGATACCGCCGAATCTGAGGAAGATGGTTGTCGCATCAAGCTCACTGGTACATCTTTGGCACTCGTTGATTTATGCATGCTGTTTGACCTTCTACCAGACGACCTATCACGACGCTCTATTGACCTCTGATTCTGTATTTCATTGTGGCTAGATGATTTCTGAATATCATGCCTTTTTTGTTTTTCTCTAGAGCTATAACGGAAATTGCTTTCTAAGATATCTTTAGATATATCATCACAGTACTCGTCCTTATGAATATTCCAGTCTTTAGGTATGTAAGGGGTAAAATGTTTTTGGTCCCGACCTTGGCTTAAAATAGCGCTTATATTATTTTCGATTTTGCGTAACGGCGAAGTTTCTCCACTAGAGCCTGGTTCACCGCTTTCTTGATCTTCTTCTTCTTCAACAGTAGTAATAAGAGCTTGGCGACTCGCACTATTACTATCCTCAGGCCCAAGACTTGGAAGAGATATAACACGGACCATAGCTGGAGGAGCAGTTGTTAGCTCGCCAACAGTTTCATTACATTCTGTTTGAGGAGTTTCTTCAACTTTACCTTCTTTGATTAAAGATTGAATGTTATCAAACGTAGAGGAATATTTTTTGAAATCCGTAAACCTACTCTGAGGGGATAATTTACTTTGAGTACTATTTTTAGAAACACTTTTATCAGATTGTCTACTTTTAGGACTGTGACCATAATACTCTGGGTTGTATCTTTCTTGGGCATTGTTGAGATCCAAACTAAGCCTGGACTTGGGCGAAGTTATTTCCTTACTTAATCTAGAATTCGGAGTACAGAGGTCGATACTATATCTAGAGTTGGGTGTGTTGAGCTCGCGACTCAATCTTGAATTTAAATCAGCACTATATCGTGATTGAGGTAAACTTAAATCTGAACTTGGTCTAGAATTATAGGAACCTACAGATCCTGAACCGCTTATAGAAATACTAGATCCGTCTATAGATTTATCAATACTTCTATTTAAGCTATGACTTTGTGATAGATTATTAGTGTTTTGTGTTTTGCTATTTGTATTTTTGTTGAAGGCCGGTAACTGTTTTCTATTTTTTCCTTTACGAATAACGTATGTGCCACATGCTAAGTCTTGTGTACGACGATGTTCTTGTTCTATATCTGAAATAGGGGAAGCGAGAGGTTCACATTGGGAAATTGGTGGCGGCGGAGGCCAGTACTCTTCCACCCAATCTTCGTCTAATCTTTGCGGTATCGAACTTGTGCTTGAATGTGACTGATCTCCAGATTTTCTTCTTCGTCTCCCAATGACCTGTAATGTTAAAATATGTAACTTAAAAAATCTTACATAAGATAATTTTTGTTTGCCCAATATGTATAAGAATGCGTGTTGGAAATTGATTTTTTTTAAGAACTGATAGCTTTAAACAAAATATGGATCTCGTTCGATTACTGAGTTTCAAGTTTGTGCGATTTCAAATTATTAGTTGAAAGAATTATAAAAGGTAAATTATCGAAACTTTATTTGTATAAATCTAATTCTAAATGAATCTTTGTTTAAAATATACATATTATGTTTACCAAATTAAATTTTAATATTTGTAATTTAACAAAAATCAAGTGATGCTATAGGATCGATATCGATATTTTTTAGATTGCAGACGTAACTGTCTCAATTTTAAAATTTTTAAAAACAATTTCATACATGCAATTATAATGTTTGAAGTATATATATTAGATATTTTAACAAATTAAGAATTTTGGTGCCAGTAAAATATTTTAATATGAATTTATTTTGATCAATTACATGGCTGCGATAAATATTGCGTAATTTACAAATATTTTAATTAATTAAAAGTTTACACGTGAAATTGCTCTTTAAGTATTAAATTTATACAATATAAAAATACTTTTACGTCATTAATTTTGTTTTTAACTTTAGGCTGTAGGAAAATTACAAATTTTAATCGAATTGCGTAACAGAAGCTATAATCAATTTGAAGTAAACTAACTCCAGACGAGACAAACAGTTATTATCAATAGTTAGTTGTATTTAACTTATAGTTAACCATAATTATTTTTTTGTTTAAATACGTATATATGTACCTTAGTACTCCCAGGTGTAAGTAGAGGATCGTCACCATCGAGAGACACTTCCCAGGCTATGGAATTTCGCTTCGAAGGCGTGCTCACTGCAGGTGGGGGTGGGAAAGATTCTAATGAATCATCTGAAAAATGTTCTTCATCATCCCTGTTTGCAGTTATCTTGCAATCCATTATGTCCTCCGAAGATCCTCTACACACTTCTCTATGTCTCTCCATAGAACTGGCGAGAGTACGCGGAGGTATCTTACCCTTTGGTGATAGCATTTCCCCGTCAGATCTACTATCACGTTTCATACTGTTTTTCTTATCTATGCTTTTGCTATTGGATGGTGATATTTTGTAAGTCGGGGAATGTGATTGTCGATTGTATTGTATATTTGGTCCAGGGTAAATCGTTACCGGATGTTCATTGTATGGCTTATCGATAAATTCGCTAGAGAAACCCATGAAGGGAAATACGGGTGGATTTTCCAAGCTAGGTGACTTCTTAAGGTTTAGAGGTGGAGCCGAGTGCCTTGGAGGAAGCCACGTTGGAATGACTTCGGGATGATTTGGCTTTGCACCATGTTGTAATGAGGAGAATTTGCAGGGATGAGTTGGTGGTTGCTGTAATTGAAAACCATTTGTTTCTATTTCCTTGTCCCACCCATATGGGCGTTGATGTCTCGTTTTCGGCTAAAAAATAAAAATGATTATTATTTACAATTTTTGGTACGGTAAGCTTTACTGTATGTACTATTTTATACCTACTGTACTTGGAAATAATTTGATTGACTTACAAAAGTTGTTTGAGTTGCAGTCGTAACTCCATTTATACTTATAATGGAATCCAATTTCTCTTCAGCTTCGCATTGTTCAACTGAAGTTGTTCGTTTTGCAGAATTTGCAGGCGATACTCTGTGAACAGTTGTATTTAAATTTTGTTTATTATGAAAATAAAAAAAAAGATTTTTTTTTCTACTTACTTTATCTTTTTAATTGACATTCTCTTATAAAGTGTACCTATTTATAATTATTACGGTATACTTCTATCTGTTGTAGGCACATATTTTTCTTATCTGGTATTTAACGTAAATTATTTCTTTATTTGCTGCATGTAGTATCATATTACTGGTTGCAATAGATTATTTTTGATTATAAATATTTACTTATATTGTTATTATTGCTTGTTTTTAATTGATCCCAAATAATTTATTAAATTATAATTATAAAAATGTATTATATTTCAATGATTACTTTGGTAATAGAGTAGAAATTATCCTTTCTGCTTCTTCAGGTGGCGGTGGTGAATGCGGCGATGGTGGATCTGGTGGTGAACCTTCCTCGCGTTCCTCCGTAGGTCGGAAGCCCAGCGCGAATTTCGCTCTGTAATATTATAAACGTTCTATTGGTTTAGATCAGTTTTAGTACTCTGATGACCTAACTTTTCTAAAATTTCGTCAATAAAAAACACATAAGATATCAAAAATGTTATGAATTGTTCGACGTTGGCGATATTTTTTATATGTATATTCAATTAACAAAAAAATTCTAACACATAATATAACGCTATGAAATTGCATTGAAGCAACGCCGGGTACTCGTAACCCGTAGGTCAAAGAACTCGGCTGCAAAAATAAAACGTTGGAATATATAAATCAATTTACTTTGTTTGGAAAGCGCGTTTTTCCTGGTTTAACTTTTATATAATATATTTTTTATCAACTAATATTAATTGGCTCCTTCATTCACTAAGGGATAACTTTTCAATCATCAAATAAAAGCTTTAACTAAATTACAACTTGAGTAATAAAATGATAAGTTAAACTATTTTTTAACCCCCGACGCAAAAAGAGGGTTGTTATAAGTTTGACGTCGATGTCTGTCTGTGGCATCGTAGGTCCCAAACAGATGGACCGATTTCAGTTTCCTTTCGGTGGTTCTTAGCTATGTTTGGTTAATATCGGTCTAGCAGTGTAAGAGTATCAGCTCTTTTCCAAAATGACGTAAGGCATTTTGGCGTATGATAACTAGATAAGTGTGAGTGTAATCGTTAAATGACAATTAATTTGCGTAGGGGTTTTTTTTTTAATTTTTAATTTATAATTTACGCAACAGTGTTTTTTTATTTTTCAAGTCACATTTATCGCTTGATAAACTGTGATCGGATGATTAAAACATAGAACCTAATTCATTATCGTCATCATTATATTAAGGTAAGTATATAATCATGATTGGCCACTCCATATTGTATGTATGTGCTTATTTGCACGATATGAATATAAACGACAATAAAAACAAAATTTCTGTCTGTCAGTATGTATCAATTAATTCCTGGAACAGCAACAAGATAATTAGCTCCCACTCAATCAGGTAAAGAACTATAATAGCACAGAAGCAACAATTTAAGTGCATCTTTTCTGAAAAAAGAGGTTTTCAGCGGAATAAAAGTAAGAAATTAAATATAAAAATATATGGAATGTAGTGATAGCTAAAGCAAAGGCAGGACGATTAGTCACTTACTAGATATAGACATTGTAGATTCAGGGTTTTATTTATTGTATTATTTCAGACATTGTAGATTCAGGGTTTTATATATTGTATTAATCGAACGACTATTATTATTATATTATAAATAAATATGTTGGAATATTAACACACATCACCATCTAGTTCCATAGTAAGCTACGAGGCTTGTGTTATAGATACCAGATAGTTGATATACTACACATATATAACTTTAAATACATACATATTATAAATATAAACACCCATGACTGGAGTACAAACAATTATGCTCATCACACAAGTGAATTCCTCCAGCGGGACTCGAACCCGCGACAGCTGGCACAACAAGTAGGGTTACTACAAACTGAGCCAAACGTGTCGTAGAAATGAATGAAAGTGTTATGTACGAAGGTTTTGTATGTGTTCATTATTTACTCAGTCACACTGAAGGGTTGGACGGATTTAAATGATATTTTGTACACAGATATTATATAGATTATGACGGAGTAGCATATAGGCTATGTTAGGTACCTAGCGATGCATCCGAGTGTAGGGTCCTCCCTAGTTGTCTAAATAATAAATATTATAATATAATAATATTGCTAAGTAATAAATATTTGTCTTACCGTCTGCCGTTCATGCTCATATATCCATCGTCTTCGGATGTGTGTCCCGCGAGTGGTGAGTCGTCGTCGGTAGCAGGCGTGGCCGGTGTGGCCGGGGTGGCCGGCGTGGGCGGCGCGCGCGCCTCCAGCGACCGCGGCTCCCCCTCGTCGTACTCACTTAGCACTTGATCTAGGAGTTCCAGAGAACGCTGTACATCGTCGCACCCTCTGTAACAGATTATTATCATTCTTATTAAAGGTTTAATGCAAATTTTAATACAAGTACTATGAATATATGGAAAAATTGCGGAGCTTATTATAAATATCTACAAGTACCAATTCTTAAATAATTCGGGAATATTATAGTAAAATCAGTAAAACCATATATTACCTACGTTGTATTTGTTGTTTAAATGTAAGTAGTCGAAATAAACATACGTTTTCTATTGTTATCGGTATAAAACAGTAATTTTTTTTCTATAATAAGTCAGTCATATATTAAGAAGAGGAAATAATATAGCGAAGCCGGCAGCAAGGAGGTCACGGTAGTCAATTCCCCGAGATAATGTTAAATTGAACTCATTTCCTCTGGAGTCGGGCTTGCCTCGAGAACGTTTCCTCTTACTGCACCATTAGAACTAAATTAGAGGATAACTATGTAGGTTGATTGATCTTATCACTCACGATTAGCTTCAATCGCATTACAATAGTTTGTTTCTATGTGAAAGCAAATGGTATGGCTATATTTAAAACACTATTCTAAGATAAACTCAAAATATTTGATTGCAGTATTATTATGGCATTTTGGTTATATTTATATGTATAAATATTAAAAATTAATTATCTATTTACCTTAAGGATATAATTAGAATTATTTTAATTAAATTTTGTCAAATTATTTTGTATATAATGAAATTCTCCTGACCGATTCCGGCGACGGCGGCCAATCTCATTGAGACTAGCCAACTGCTCGGGAGATATTGTAGTGCACAAGTGTACGCGCAGACACAACGTGCGCTCTCTATTCCTGTCACTCTCATACTCCGGTGGGACGACTAACAGGTGAGAGTTAAAGCGCAGGACTGACGGCTTTACGTGCTCTCCGAGGCACGGGGGTCAAACACCGCCAACTTCCCAACTCCGGGCTGTTACTGAGGCTTACTAAACAGAAAGACTCAATAACTAAACTTGGCCCGACCCGGGACTCGAACCCAGGATCTCCGGGTGTGTAGCCGTACGTGCTAGGCACTACACCACCGAGGCTGTTTTGTACTCGTATATATATAGATAGGTCATTCAGCATTGTTGGTTTAGTACCTATGAGAGAATTATAAGATTTTTTTAAGACGCTTCCTTTCTGTAAGTAGTACTACAAAAATATAATTTGTCACTACTTCAAATATCGCCTCTTTGGCATCTGGTGTAACATTCATTATAAGTATTCATATTAGAGGATGTATGTTCCCTGCTATAAAGTGGTTGTAGTGGTTCGTACAAAGCACCCCTTTGAAAGAAGAGCCGCTTTCACGCCAGCTCTCGATAAGCCCTTAGCGCTCTATGGAGTTCTGCGCTATACTTCCTCAATCAAATGCTGCAGTAAAAAATATCTACATACCTACGCAATACATTTTGACTAAGATATTTTGAGTTGCTTGTACTTCCTGTTGCAGATGATCAAGGGCCTCACTCATAGCACGAACATTTTGAGATCAATTCTACCTAATACATATTGTATGTTCGTACGTACATATATATAAAATGTATTGCATATTTAATACAATTAATAGTACACGAGGAAGACTATTTATGAAAAATATTTTTATTACTAATCCGTAAAATCCGTTGCCTAAATTTCTAAAACACTTAGACGGTTTTCGCTGTTATTTGATATTTTCTCAATATACATGTATGCAAGTAGTCTACTGTAACAGGGCATCGATACCTCTTTTTATTTTTGCCCTATCTATGGAACATCAAGAAGGGACTCTGGGACTCTTAGGATTCTTAGGCATAAGGTATATGCATAGCGTATGAGTGGAGAGACGCTGATAACATAGCCGAAGCCCGCTTCTTACATCTTCACCGATCGAGAGCTTCATTAGTGTTCACTCTAATGATGTACGTCGTGCAAGTTGTTTTTACCCACGACAGAACATTACTTCACGAGGCATCCTTAACGTAAATATGTTATTGGTTTTTAACACATCTATTATATTTATAGATACAACATAATATGTATATTTTCTTTGAGTTTTTCGTGTCAACGGCTAGATTGACTAAACAATACAATTGTAATAAAAACTTAAAAAAAAAAAACGACTTCCAGGCACTAAAATGTAAAAAATAACTAAACGGTGGTTTTCATTTAGAATAGATACCTAATGAGATATTTTCGAAGTACCCTTGCAAACAAAAAAAATCCAAATCGGTTCAGGCGTCTTCGAGTAATCGGTGAACATACATAAAAAAAAGAGTCCGACGAATTGAGAACCTCCTCGTTTTTGAAAGTCGGTTAATTATTATTAGGTATGTTTTACGAATAGACAAGTACCTAAATTATTCAAACGCCTAAAGTGTTTTTATCACCAAAAATTTACGTCTAACAGATTTAATTTATTTGGCGGAGTGTATGTCACGAGAGTAATAAGCTTTAATACAGGAGTTTGTAGGCTGGATAGGCCCCGTATAGGTGTATCGCGCAATGCATTGTATCGCCAGGGCTGCCACAAAGCAGAGCACTCAGCATGAGTGCCGCGGCGGGCGCGTGCCTGCCTTTGTTTTATTTCACCCACACTCCTGCTTTGGAAACTTTTAAGGGGAACTTAAAATTGCGTACTCTTCTTAACTCGCTCGGTTAGCTATGATTAGTTACTATTTTTAATTTTATTTAATTAATAATAAAATCTACTTTTATGATTATGATATATAAAAATATTTCAACTTATATAAGGGCGAAAGTAAAGTAATTAGCACATCAGGTGCCTGGATATTACTGTGTAAATTGTCATTATAATCTGCAGGCTTACTTCTTAGTAACGTAAGGTAGGTACTGTTTATGCGGAAATGAGTGCAGTGAGGCGGAAGTGCAAAACACCCCCGGCGCACCCCCGGGCGTCGACCCCCGGGTGATGCCGAGCTTATACGCATACTGACAGCATGAATGGCGTCTTCCAAACACACAATATGCATAGTTTTCATAGATCAATTATAGAAAGTAGCCGCAAAAATGTTATAATCTCTACATAAGTATATATTTTTATAAGTAATATATGTATATGTATATATGTATGTATGTATATGTGATTATTATTACCTTTATTTCTAGTATATATTTAATATATTTTTCGCACTATATTGGCCGCTGACATCTTCTTCCACATCCTGGGGTTGACTGGAAGATATCTCTTGTAGAGATAAGTCCACCTTTGTAAACTATGTTTATTTTTGTTATTTTTATCTGTATCATATTTTAAGTGCAATAAAGAATCTAATAATTAGTAGGTGCCAATGTATTTTCATAATTTAGAATAAAGAGTTTTCTCTTTCAAAAAGTATAGTCTTCTAAAAAATAACTTTATATTAACAACTTCATTTTAAGCGTGAACCTAATTAAACGTTTAATTAAAACATTACAAATTGCTGGACGAACCTAGATAGTGAAATTTGCGTGAAGTGTTTGTTTCCTTAGCTATTTGAGGGGACATTGCAAAGTAATCTTGAAAGTTCGAAAATCTTTTATAAGTTCTACTAGATCTATACAATTGCTTTAATATTATTGAATCTGGGCTTATAATTCGTTTAAACTTTCAAGTTCGGCTGGAATCCAGCTAGTTTTTAAATTGGACAAAACTTTGTCAATTAAGTAGTTGAAAGTTTTGTTGTCGGATAACAGTTCGGTTTAAGTCACTAGGGTTAAGATTGGCGAATTACGGTTAAATTAAGTTAGAATGTTTACCTTGCTTCTAATTTTGTTACGTATATTTAATAAGAGAAATTGAAATTTTATAGACGTGCTCTATCAGACAGTTTTGATAAGCATCAGAGTTTAAATTGTGACTTAAATAAGACTCTATAAAACTGTTGATGTTTAGGAAAATCTTATTGGTCCTCGTAGTGGCGCGGACGGAAGGAAGCGTTGAGGACATGCCAATAAACGCGGCAACTGTAACAACACCTCGCTCAAACAACTGCCGGAAGCAATTCCACTCCCTAAGAGCATGCTGTAAGGTTGACATTTCAAATAACCACTTACTATTATCGGCTGCAGCGGCTTAAAGCAATTTTGCAAGTCAATATTGAACTTTCCAACTCTTGGGAGCGACGTGTCCCTTTCAAATAAATCAACTACCGGATTACTCTCCCAATTCTACGAGGTTTATGAGCTCTTAAATATTATATAGTCGTAAGATCTACACAACTCCAATTATTATCATTAATTCTGATCGAATAAACAATAAAGCTTAACGGTTTAGTTCCAAGTACACTTAAAGGTACAAGTTTACGCATATTATATTTAATCACGCCTATACCTTAAAACACAAAAACAAATCATTTTCTAACACAAGAACAATAATCAAATCTAATAAAATAGCATTGTGTATCGTCACAAAAACAACATAATATGATCTTACACGTACAGTGTAATCATTTACATTTCAACTACCTCGGTGGTGTAGTGGCTAGCATGTACGGCTGCACACCGGAGGTCCTGGGTTCGAGTCCCGGGTCGGGCCAAGTTTAGTTATTGAGTCTTTCTGTATATTAAGTCTCAGTAACAGCCCGGAGTTGGAAAGTTGGCGGTGTTTCACCCCGTGCCTCGGAGGGCACGTAAAGCCGTCGGCCTTAACTCTTACTGGTCGTGTCGAGTGGTCAATGGTCATCCCACCAAAGTATGAGAGTGACAGGAATAGAGAGTGCACTTGTGTCTGCGCGTACACTTGTGCACAATAATATCTCATGCGCAGTTGGCTAGTCTCAATGAGATTGGCCGCCGTGGCCAGAATCGGTCAGGAGAACATCATCAATCATTTACATACATACTATATATATATATATATATATATATATATATATATATATATATATATATATATATATATATATATATATTAATATACCTTTCAACGCATATTAAAATTCTTTTCAATAGCTTCTTAATACAACATATTTTATATCATGTAATTGCCTCACGTGAAATGTTACTATGTGGCATTTACGGTCATTGGGACCGAGGGAGAGTTAAATTTTCACCCTAAATCATTAGTGGTGTCATCGAAATTTGGAATACAGGACAGTAAAGGGTGCATGAGTAATGCAAATTTTGTGTTTTATCACGGTGACGAATGTAACACATTGTAGAGCGATTTCTAAGTAAAATGAACGTTTTCTTTACACTGGTATGTCATGCATGCAAATGTGATTTGCGCTCGAGTCCCCTATCGCTTGCTCTTTATTATAGGTACTAATTAATGGATAGTGTTATTGCATTATGTAAATCTTTCAGAAGTTTATAATTTTATGAGCCCAAACATTACAAATAGCTGAATATATTAAAATCAAAATTTAATAGGCAAACATAAATTAACTCGTCTTAATATCTATACTTATTATAAAAATAAGTCCCCCGGCCGCGTCTTTCTGTCCTCCTGTCTGTCCTCCTGTCTGTCTGTACGCGATAAACTCGAAAACTACTGAACGGATTTTTATACGGTTTTCAACAATAGAAAGAGTAATTCTTGAGGAAGGTTTAGGTATATAATTTATTATGCTTTTATGTAAATTAGCTGAAATACGGCGACAAATGTTGAAGAGGTCGCAAAAAATCTCGCCAAATGGGAACTTTCCACGCGAACGCCGCGTAAACTAGCAAAGATACAGTTAAGTAATGTACTAGAGAATTCAAAATCTATAAAAATGCTACAAAAAAGTCCGCGATAGCATATCTCTATCTCTTACGGTTGACTTACAATAACCACTTTTATGTTAACATTTTTAATTAAAAACATTACGTTATTTTCAAAGTTATTTTCTTTAGTTCGGTATTAATCCTTATCCAAATGAATATTTTAGTTAGCTTAGTCATTTAATGCAGATTAAAATTGCTCTTTACACTAAATCAATCAGATGAATAGTTTTTGAGATATCGTTGTTAGAAGTAATTAGTAGCGAAACATTTTTAATGCTTGGCGAGCATTGAGATGCCTACGGCGAGTCCATCCCCTCTGCCCCGCATCGCTCGACCGCCTGCTCAAGCTATATAAACCGGGCGATGTAGCGCGCGATCCTAGGATACTTTTTACCGCGGGAAAATATCTTATTTCTGAGGAAAAATACAAAAACTGCAATGTAAGAGTATACTAATATGTAACACCTAAGAATTTAGTTTTTGGTCATCTGAACGCGGGCGGAGCCGCGGGCAATGCTAGTACTTAAATAATACAATTCACTTAAATAGGCTAGCTATATGCAGAATCAAGGCTGTTATACATATTTTGTACTTTATCTCTCGAATATTATTTCTCTGTCAGGAATAAATGTGACTCGAGTATTGATAATAATAATTAATTAAACTGTCACGTCATCTCAAAACGCTAGAGATAGTGGTTTAGCCCCTCTCTGCCTATCTGTTCCTTTAAAATGGGTGTTACTGATTTGATTATTTTGAATTGTAAATACTGCAGATGGACGGACA